ATATATCTATATATATATATATATATGTCAGTGTATAAATCAACATTGTTTTTCTCTTTTTTGCAGGATATTGGCCCAGCTTACATCACGCCTACACACACGGTAGCAGCAGTCCCAGAGTAAGTGGACCAAATCAACTCTTTTTGACAAACCTGTAGGATATGTCTCCCAGTTAACAAATCAGCGCAGACTTGTATCAGTGGATGAACTTAGGATTCTCGAAAACCATAAGTCTCCAAATATTCTAGACTAGGGATCACTTGACCAAATGAAATCTTGTGGTCCCCATCTGGGTTAGAATGGGTTGTTTAATTCAAAATTTGGATCTGACCCACACTGTTCGGCACCTCAATCACCGGGGCCGACAATTTCTCGTTGACTGCTGGACGAGCAAATAGCTAACTTTAACGTTATTTTGCCATGAAAAGAACGAAGCGCATCTGTTTCTGAAGATGCCGACTATTTCCAAGTGGACATTTTGGAAAAGACTATTCTGAGTTTGGATTATAATAGAGTACAAGGGTGGACACCACATAGAAATTGTTTGCCAGAAGTGTTACACACAAGACCTCATAAAGATGGTTTGATCGATTATTATGCATGGTTCGAGTACAGCTCGCGGATGAGCAAAATCAGCGTGTTTTCCCTGTCGTTTACACAGTACAAACATCTATAGCCCCGAAGGACTCAAAGTTGACTGTGTATTGATAACATCGGACAGCAGGTATTTCGTGACTGGATCAGGAATGGGACCACCAAAAACCTGGGATGCTAAAGTGAGTTCTTTATATCAGTTCGTTTTGGACCTGTCTCTTTTGAAGTTACTTTCCTTGGTATGTAATGTCTTCTGTGGTGGTTGCCCATGGTTAAGAGCACATTGTGCATTTGCTTATTATTCGCTTATTTTGGCAGAACGGGACCAAATTAGCCGAGGAAATGTACCTAATAATTTTACCTAATAATAATAATAATAATTTTACCCTCTCGGTTCCTACCTACCATGTCACCTGAAGGAATCGCGAGGGATGGGATAGTGTAAGGTTGCTCAAGCCTCAACAGGAGCAGCCGAGATGCATAGATTGGGTTCGAACTATGAATCTTCCTGTCATTAAGTTCGCGTCTCAACCACTGAGCTATCTTGAATCCCACAAATGCCCATAAATGCACCTTTTGTTGTGTTAGACGATGGATGGAGTGTAGTGACAATCAGAACAAGAATGGAAAAGACCGAGGGCCCGGAAGCTAGGCTTTACTGATCCAAAACTTTGGCACTGAGAGCTGAAACGGAAGAAAATGATTTAGAAATAAACGATGGAACGTTTGAAAAACAGGGCAAATATACAACACCTATTCTCTGTGGTTTTAGGTACACACAGAAGGGAATATGAGCACATAGCGGATAGGCTGATTTTTCTGCATCATTCTCTTTTCAGCCATTTTCAAGATGTACTGAGACAATTACTCTAGTCAATCCATGCAATAAGCATTAAGCCCTGATCTTATTGGAACCTGTCAGTAGCGTACATTCAAGATCAGAGATTTGGACACCAATCACCTGGAAAGTGAAGCAATGTTTAGGTGATCATAACATGCATGCAGGGGTATATATCTTAATTTGGCTGAGGATGTCCAACCCTAATTGGTTTGAATAAAAGTGAAACGACAGACCAGTGCTCCACTTCATCTACGTGGATTACTAAAGCTATAGCACTTTGACAGACGGGAGACTAGAGTGATTTGAATACACAGAGGAATATCAGCACCACCACGACAATACAACTCTTTTAAGGTGCAAGAATATTTTGGATAATACATGTTACCGCATTTTGTTTACGTCTTATTGATTTGAAATGCAGTTGTTATGTGAAAACGTAGTGACGCTGATAGGCAACACCAGATAACAGTGATCAGGGCTGAAACGATCGGTTGAAGCACATGATCGCATACTCTAGTGTCTTTAGGCCCGTAAATTAAAAATGCGAAATGTCTGACGTGACAGGGTCTCTCAAGTCATTTATTTGTTCAAACGTGCAACCCATCTCCGCACGCATCACACTAGTGCATGCATTTTTTTGGTTGGGGGGGGGGGGTGTGTGTGTGGATTATGACAATTTGCGTAAGAGAAGCGAGCCCGGAGGAGTATCGTCGTTCATTCGCTTAATGATTAAAACAAGCTTTTCAAGCTGAAGGCAACTAGGTGCTGGTATTTTGAACAAGAGAATGAAAGCCAGCCACATAAAAAGACCTTTGATATGTTGAAATATTTCCGGAACATGCATGCGGTCGCGTTAGACCTACGTGTACGGTAAATGCTTACTTCTGACCCCATACCCCCAAGGCCTGCAAGCCCACTTAGAATCAACGGATGAACGTAAACCGTGGAAGCACAAATTACGAATCTTCGCCAAATTTTATGAACTATAATTTGTTAGGTCGGAATACACAACGCTCGGAACCTTCAGCCAAGGAAACACTCAATAGGTTGCAGCGATAAAACGCTTTCCTCGAATTACAAGCCCTTCCTTCCGTCATTAATGTTGCTTGTTCCAGACTTTCTAAATTCCGAAAGATTTTTGTATTTATTTTACTTCATACCTCCTTGGCCACCTCCTTTGCGGTCAATAAGGTCACTAAGTAAAAACTTATTGCCCCTTGAGTGAATATAGTGATAAGGGTATTAGATTAGCACACAGCGGGCAATCTTCATGAAGCTTACTTAGCTATAATCATTAGAGAAGTGGAGATCCATTCGCCCCGGTTGAACGCATAAGTTCAGGCTACTGTATTCATACTACATTACGGTAGGTAGACGCTACGTCGCATCAAGCAGGCCGCAAAGATGGCACTCAGCATCAGCCTAAAAACAAGAGTAGAATCACGCATGTTCCGAACTTATTTCCTTTCCCGTGTAGTAAAATCTTCTCATGCAAGATAACTAATGAGGTAGATTACCGTCTTACCCGTTTTAGCAACAGTCGACCACACACATCTCGTGTAGCCTCAGTCAGATTCAAGGTTTGAAAAGTTTGAACCTCTGAATCGCATCGATGGAGCGATCAGTCTGTATTTCAAGGCGATATAAAATAGCTTCCTTCACACCTTCGGACATTTCGTGATCAGTAAAAGAATGTCTGTATTTAGACTGCTTCCACGATTTTGAAGATGAATTATTACTGTGATGTTGAAAGTTGGCTTGCGACCGTGACGCGGTGATGTCAGTCACCGGAAATACGCTGAACTCAGTGCTCGGGGTAGTAGGTTGCAATGCAGCGTGGCCGTCAGCCAATAGAGCAGTTATCTAATATCTTCCGACCAATTTCCCAAGTTGAGTTCAATACGGAACCGGGCTTAGTATGAAAACAGTAGAAAACGTTTCAAGGACTCTGTCAGTGACCTTCATGTTTGGTAACCTCAAGAAAATTAAAGGATGTTGATCGGAATATTCTTCCAATAACAATTCTACCATCCTTAACAGACGATTATTCGTGCCTTTTCCTCAGATAAACACTTTCTTAGGCACTTGAGTCATTCGTCAATTACTATCTTGAACAGATTTTACCAACGACTCTTGAATAGTGTGTTAGTCTATGAAATGAATTTGTTCTCTTGGTCTACTGTTCAACGAGTTCGGTGATGTGACTTTATTGACCAGTAGCGCGCAAGATAGGGTAGGATAAATAGCGTTGTTCATAGACACCTGATGAAGCATAAGAACTTAATGGATCGGCTTCTAAGATCATGCTTTTGGGAAACTGTACAGCAAATTTTCAAAAATAGACAAATAATTCATCACTTCTCCTACTTTTCAGTCCGGGGAAATTCACCAAATAATGGAAGGAAATGAAGCTGGGTGTACCGACCTACATTTGGCTTGCAATGACACAGTCCTCGTCACACAGGTGGTGGACGACTTCATGGATACAATAGGAGATTCGAGTGCATTACGCATCAAGCGACTGCAAGTGGGTCCTGAACAAACGTTTGATTTGCACTTTGATTGTGTATCACTTGGAATAGTCGCGTTTTTGGAAAAGCCAAAAGTGAAAACTTCCCGTTCCTTTCACTAAAACGTTGATACCTTCTCTTCCGCTCTTAGTTATGGGATTTCGCAACGGGCCATCAACTAGAAATGCCTGTGGAAGTCATGTGTACAGCCACCTGTCTGGCTCGTGCAAGCCATCACGTGATTGTGGCTCGGTGTACTCCATCCGGACCGACTATACTGGTGTGGAATTTGTCGGCAAACGCAGTGGAACGGGAAATCCCCTATGAACCGTTTAGTCCACTGATGCAAAACAACGTCAGCTACTTGAACATTTCACACGATGACCGTCTGGTTGTGGCTGGATACAAGGTTGATGAACAAGCGCATTATATGGTTTTTGATATTGCTGCAAACTATCCAGTACGTTGATGTCTCTGGTTGCTCAATATTTCGAGTCACTTCCTAAGATAATAAAATAAGGGTAACAAACCCAGATGAAGATTAATATATGGTAAATTGGAACAGATGTATGAATTTTCATCCCCCCACTAGATTATGACCCTCGGGACTCCTTCATCTTGGATTTCTCCGTCGCATTGAACATAATATTCGACCAGGAGTGAGAACAGGCGTAAGATTACTTTTTTAAGAGACGTGTTTTCCTTTGCTTCGGTTGACTCCTGTGTGAGCCTTAGCTTCGACTCCCTAGAGTCGTGCTTGTCTGAGTAGAGCTGGTGACGGCGACAATCCAAAATGTCGATCCGACGTTGGCACGGTTTGAAGCAGAAACGCTAAAATAGTTTTACGTGTGCGTGCCGTAAGTACATGCGGTTCGTTTAACCGCTGAATTAAAGTGGTACCATGCATCTACCGGACGGGCGTACCCTGCCAGTAGTCCCCAGGCACCGATGGTAAAAAAATCTTGTGGATGTCTGAAACGCTCATCGGTCAAGAAAGGCTAAGCGAAGTCCGACAGCATATTTTCGGATCCAAACCGACCCGGTACTTTTGAGTGCATGAAAGCCCTGTATTCCAATGTCTGTACGCCCCGCTTACGATGTTGATATTTTCAGGAGGTTGTGCACCCACTCACATATTCATTTTAATACTGCATGAAGCTCTCCATATGACAATCTTCCATCTTCTATATTCCTGTGTTGAATGTTCATGTAACTTTGAAACCTAACGTTAGATGCAGTAATCTGCGTCAACTTGAAAGCCGCACTAACGATTAAATCTCGTCCTAGTAAGGGATTCATTGATTACCAAACAAAGCTGCTGAGTGTAAGCGGAATACACTCATTTGCAAACAGATTTGGTTTTGCGAGAGACGCGCTTGGAGCCCAGCTGAATCTCCCTTTTGTGCTACTTCCAGGCAACTGCTGAATATTACCTAAAAGTTCAACCCATTGAAGCTGCGAAAAATTTCATCTTATTCCTAGTATAATTCGGGCAGCATTGTTCTGAGCCGTAAACTTGCTTGTTTCGTTTTGGCTGATATACATTAAAATGCGTGTTTCCTCGGCAGCAAACAACCCCAAACGAAGTCATGTCTTAACAGAACAAACTATGCCCTGTGTGTGAAACGAAAAATCGGCGATCACAAAATTACATTTTGGATACACAATAGTACAGCGGCGATTAAGAGATGATGAAAAGTTCAAAGGAACAGGGCCAAACTCCACTATGATGAGGCTTGCCAGCCTGCAGCTGTGAACGGATTCACCGTCCATGTTGTCCAGAATATGTTCAGCGGCGTAGATTAAAGAAAGATGAAGCCAACAACCTTGTACCTCTTTCTTGATGCTTCCGTGCTTAACACATTTGCGTATTTTTCCTGAAGAGCCAGCGGGTTAAGTAATAACGAGGGTGATGACTTGGAATGAGTTCATCTGAGGATTGAATCGTAAATGCATATTTCCAGGCTCCTTGCAGGTTACCATTAGAATAGTTCGTTGAGAATATATACAACACAAAAGTGGCAGTATACATTAATAATTTCAGTGTAACACTAAAATTTGCATTTTTCTACAGCTGTTAGTTTAGTTAAACATCAGGCACTGGTGTTTGTGGCCATAAGACCTTATGAGTACCCCTTGACTGCTAATTCAACGGAGTGCAAGTCGATTGGGGTTTCTGACAAAGTCCGCAAGTACAGCAACATGGTCAAGCCTGAGCAAATAGTTTCATATGGGATTTTTTCTTACAACATCCAACTCAATCATTAGCTACCTGTGTCAGACAGCTGTCTAAACAAATTTAATCTAAGGCTCATGAGCTTTCTGTTCAGTCTGCTCAAACGTTTCTGTTGTCACGTCTGTTGCATTATATGCATTTTTTGTCTAGTCACAAATTCCGATACAACCGCACACCGTGGTATTTGACGCTGAAGTGGGCGCTACTGAAATAATTGGACCTGACCAAGCAGTTACTGGTGAGCGCTTATAATTATACTGATAAAATACTTTTGATCAACAAATTATAAATATAACTGAATCTAATCTTTGGTGCTGGCACAAGACACTTTTTCTATATGCTGATACAAGTAGTCATGGCGAAATAAACTTATTTGCATACAAATTTGGTTTTGACGGGAGACTCATCTGGAACCCAGCTGAGTCCAGCGTTCATGATTTTTAAGCAACTGAATGTGCTGCACTATACAGGCTTCCGTACTACCTTGAATGATCTCGAGAGTCAAAGTGATGCTGTACGTACCATTAGTCATATTTCCTAGTAAAAGAGAGAAGTATTCGATGTGGAATTTGGAAGGAAATTGCCGAAACCCATATGTTTACATTTCTATGGTTGAAAATATTGAATATGGAAAGGTACACTGTTTAAATGGTGACTGATTTTCATACGATTCATTGGTACTTCTCTGGGTACATCGTTCAGCTTGTAGGTTAGACTATGCAGGTCATGGGATAGCTGAGTTCACTTCGCCATGTTCAATTCAGAATACTGATCCGGCTGTTTGACATTCTTCTATCCATACCTCCTAAATCCCGATTGTTTGTTTTAATGTAAGTTACCTGAACGAAATAAGATTTCTGATGGTAGACTCTCCTTTAAGCGGCAGATAATGTTTCGGGTTCATCCCAGGCCTATTCGCATATACCCATATTTCGCTTTTTCATTTTCTCCTTCGAAACTTTCTGTATTGCTTCCATACCTGTAACCCTCTCAACAGGAACAAGGAAAGGTGAGCTTCTGGTTTGGAATCTACACACCAGAGAAGTCGTCCGTCAGATTCAAATCACTGCCACTTTGGATCGTGGCAATCTGACGACCTTACCACCACATCACGGTACTGTGCACTGTGTAAAACTTTCTGACGACAAGCACTATTTGGTTACTGGGGCCCAGGATCAGTTGGTGCGAGTGTGGACTATGCCCGATGAGCGCTTGCTGCATACGCTAGAAGGACATGCGGACGATGTAAGAGTTGATCGTGCTTATTATCAGATGTTTCTCTTTATGTTCCTACTGGGAGCTTCGCGGTCTATCGTCGGCTTATGAGTTGTCCTGTAGTTTATCCCACCAGGCACCTATTCCAAACCAAAATGCCCCCGGGTGGTCTCACGCTTTCTGATGGGATTTCACGCCCCTAAATAAACGATGAAAACAGTCCTCAGTCTGACATGCGCTCCAAACACTGCTTCTTCCTGTAGCAGAGCTGCAGGGCTTTGTATGTCACGTCTTTCGATCCGGTGTGTAAGCCGATGGCTCGTCTTCCTTTCCCCCTATGGGACCGGATCTGATTGGTTGCTTGCATTCCTTACTGAGACGGACTACTGATTATGTTCTGGAGTACAAAGGGCATTCGTCAGATTGCTGCTGATCAAACCTATGTTGCATTATCAGAATCTGCTCAAATTTCGGATCCACAGCAGATGTAGGCGTCCGAACTACTCACGTACAAAGACGTTACCAGCGGTGCTTTGCCATAATTCACTGAATGACTACGAACCCTTAGCGCTTTAAAACTCAGAGGCTTAGTTTTATAGTGGATGTAATTAATTATTTATTTCCATCGAGGAAAATGTCGGTGGTTCAGACAGAGTAGATGGTCATGAATTGTTTTCTGAGCTGGACGATTTGATTGCCATCATTACCAATCGGGGTGACATCATTCGTGCGTTATTGGGGAGCGTAGTGGTGCATAGCACAACCAACAACCCATCGCTATGTCCCACCACGCTCCCCAATAACGCGCTGATTACGTCACCTCGACTGGTGATGAGACGTTTGCAATCTAACCGCCCAGCTCAGCAAACAAGCCAACGACCATTAATTATGTATTCTATGCGAAGCGGCATATGGGGTAGTCATTTCTAGGAGCTCCGACACCTAGGTAAATTTTAACTCCTGGTTTTTGCCATTGGCTTACTTCGCGTGACCCTTCTCTTAAGACATCAGAAACGTTAGTAATCCGCAGCCGTACCACTTGGACAGGAGGCACTCCGAAAGGCCACAAGACGGACCTGGTCACACTTCAAATGGTTTTTCAGTCATTTTACCACAAACCAGTTTGTTGGACGTGGATAGTCCGCGAGCCGTTAGGAGCTGTGGCTCTCAAATAAAGGCCCAGACCTACAGTGTGCTTATCAATTTTCTGAAAGGAATTAATGCTTCATAGTTGTGAAATCATATTCGGTCCCTCACCTGTGAGACCAGTGGGGAGCTACTAACAGTCCGCTTGTGAACTGCTAATCACATACTTATTTTGTCTGAATATTCTAACAAAAGTGTAAACTTTCCATGTCAGGTTTTCACGACACTTTTTAGAGATGTCGCAATAAAATTCGGTGAGTGATCAGGAGTTTTGAAGTGTTTGTATGTAGATTTGCTGACAGCTTCAAGTCAAGGCGAGATGTCCTGCAAGGTATGTGACACCTCGGGTTTCATACCGGAGTTCGGACACTCTGTTAATATTCCCTTGATTTCAGTCAGTATACTCTAGGATGTCAATCAACTCATTACAAGATCTGTGGGGCTTCCCATAGAAATTTTTCCGGACGCCTTAACTTAAAAACCGCATTTACCAATTGACGTGTCAGCTGATACAAACACAACGAAAAAACTTGACTATTTATCTGACTACCATGATTTAAATGAGTTCCCATTTCTACATTAGTCCATTAAGCGTACAGTTTTATGCCCACCAACCGGCAAGGCTATTATAAATATATGGTATAGTTCAGCTCCCTAACGAAGAGTTACTTGTTCTTTCTGAAGTGACACGCACACTACGTTATTTCGAAGTGCGGTGTAAATGTGGCGAATGCTCATGGTACTTTAGGTTTTACAGTTTCATATTAGTTGCAGTTATGATAAGTTCTACATATACTGTGACAGTTTCCTGATTAAGCCAAATAACAGAAACTTGGGCCTGGGATGCGCGCAGCGATAATTTTGTTTGAAACCGGCAGAATAACGAAACTCATATTTTGGGCGTTTATTCAAGGTAGAACGTTTCAGAGGGGTAGATTTTAATCTGAACATGTTGGTCAGGATGGAACTGTGACTTCGTTGAAAGTGGGTTGATTAGCTGAGTTTTCACTCCTCAGGTGGTCACACACAACAAAATTAACTTATTTCAAAAGCTTGTTTGATCCCTGGGACGAATAAGGGCTAGGATTTCACTTAATCTTGTGTAGGTTAGAATTTCCCCTCAAAATTCAAGCCTAATACTCTTTCTTTATAAACAGGTTCTCAGTGTGGACATTTCGAAAGACAACGAACTCGTGGTGTCTGGCAGTTGGGATGGGTCGATTCGCGTTTGGCGCCTAAGTGATGGAAATCAGATCTGTTGGTTCTCCTCCAACATTGAAATTCTCCAAGTGAAGATTAGCAATGATAAGCAATCTCTGGTTGCTCTGGGTGAAAGGAACGATCATCGGAAATTGATAACGCTTCGAGTTGTGCGCAACCGTGTTCGGAAGACGACAACTTTACGTCCGACTTTGGGGCGCGGTGAACCTGTAATGTAACTGCTCACTCCAGCCACACTACCTGAATCAAGATTACTTGTCACCCAATGGTTAGATACAACGTTGAACGACTGAAGAGTTATTGTTAGTCATTATCTCTCAGTTTGCTGGTTTCTCTTCAAATACTTACCCATCTAGGCATGATATATATATATATATATACTTAGGAGTATACCTAGTCGTAATAGCGCTATTTCCCCTGTCAGCTTGTCTTAACCTTTAAACTGGGATCTGACACAAAACAGAATCCCTTTTCTGCACAAAACCGACCATGAGGTCACATTTCTTTTGATTGCATTTAACGAACGAGGCTTTACTGCTGTTACTTACGTCGTTCAACTCGAAGCGTATTGTGCCTTTCAAAAGGCTTCTTTGTTGACGCGATACTTCTCACGAGTCCGTCGATGCTGAGTCACCATCTCTGGAGAGATATCGAACGTCTCCCAACTACTGTGATGCCCGGTTATTACTGAGCACATGTCTTCCAAATCGATAGTCCAAAGTGCATGTAACGGTCGATGCTTCACAGGTTTACTTATCATCCATTTAACACCCTTTATTCTTGACAGATTTTCTTGCGTGGCCTGCCGTTTTCACTAGTTATTTTTCTTGTGTCTACATGATACTTTCCAATATGAATCCGAAATCACTCCTACCACCCAAATATCAGTACTATCCCGAACGCTTATGTAAGACGTTGCCACCATTTCCAGCCGAAATGCCTTTTAGCATCTTTGTAGCTTGTTTTCCAAACAACCCAGATCATTTAAACAACCAACTACCAATCAGATACATGAAGTGTGCCGACGCACGGATATTTATGCTTATCAATCAATCCAAACCGTACTTGGTAGGATCATTGGACATTGTGGTGCATACGGTTACTCAGCATTACCTACGCAAGCCAAACTAGGGAAACCCCGCATGTACCTCGGAAGAACACGTAGCTGCTGCTTTTAAAATACGGTCAAAACGTACGCCATTTTAAACGTTACCTTTCATTTCTGCTATCTTTTTCTCCAATCAAGATGACAACAGCTTATAAAACAAACTCTGTTACACCTGGTAATCGAGCTTTGGGTTCTGTTATCGTTTGCAGTCGCTTTTATTAGATCTCGGACGTCGCCTCTGTCCAATTCGTTTTTGGTTTTACTTTAACGTTTGGTTTGTGCCCTTTTATGCTGTTTCAAGCGTTATTATTACGATTATTCATACACCAAGCTGTGTAACAAACTTTTTCGGCAAATTAAAATTCCTTTCGCGAAATTGGTTGTTTTGTTGGGTTCGGTAATGATTAAAACGAGATATCACTAAATATGGTCCAGCACATTGTTGCCTTTGCTGAAATTCTACTCAGATCCGTCTATACAGAAAGAAGATACTCTCCTATATTGAGCATTGTTTTTACATCTGAAATATTACAATGTTACAGAACTGTTTGAACGTGAGATCAATTGTAAGCAATTCGTAAAGTCATCTATCTTATAGAAGGTCTAATGTAAGCTTTTCACTTAAACTTGGAGTCTTCAAGCATACATGTGAAGGAGATTGACATGATTACATCATGTTTCGGTGAAGATAGCAAGGCAGCTATTGTGCTACTGAACATAGTCCTCCAAAATTCGGCATTCATAAGCGTCGCAGTTTTTGTTTCGGGAAAATTCTATGTTACTGGTGAGTCAGAGAATTCCGGAAAATATTTCCCCAGTGCATCTTTCTGCGGAGGGTCACCGCCAGCGGCGACTTCCGGTGTGATTTGTCAGAGACTAACGAACTCTCGGATTAGTCAGAAGCTGTTTTGGTCGCGATGAGATCTATCAGCGGAGAATTCATCGCAATATTAAGCGAGGGGCTTCTTTTAGACAAGTTTCGGTTATGAATGTTGTGGCTTCTCCCCAACTGGGGCGACAGCAGCAATGCGTGAGACAGTCCTGAATATTATCTGGAACGGCTCAGCTTTAAGTGAAGCTGCTGAAAATTCAAGCACACACGCTGCACATAAAATACAATCTTCACACTGTCCGTCAGTTTAACTTTTAAAGTCATGGCAGTTGTACATATCCGTCCAGGATGCTTAATAAAACACCGGATGTAGGTGAGAATCCAGACCGCTTATTTCGGCTTAGATGCATGTCAAACTGATTCATGGCTTGGTTGCAATCTTCTGCGAAAAGCACCTGAAGTAATCGCAATCTGAAATAAAAATGGTGAATTACTGCCAGATCAGGTCCACCACTCAGAAAAGCGTGACTGTGAAACCCATGTGGTTCTGTCGTTGACGCCGAACAAGATGATGCTCCTTCGCTGAAAAGCAGTCTCAGACCAATAGCTCATCTAGGTTGTGGGTATTCTCACCTCGGGCCGGGTATGTTGAAAAGCGACGATACCAATGAGCTCGACATAGCTCAGTGGTTGAAATCCTAACTTGGTGACTGCAAGGTCCGAACCGAATCCCACCATCTCGGCATCTAGGCTTGGACAACTTGAAAGTATCTCCACCCCCGAGCTTCCTTCGAGTGAAATGGCAGCTATGCACTGGTAGTGTGTTAAGGCTGGAAGTTTATTATTGTAATGTTTTTTGCACCTAAATACTCCTGATCTCGACAGAATCATTCCGCCGATGAAATCGAAAACGAATTATCCTATCTATTCCCAATAAGTCTTGCACAACTTCTCCACCTTCACCAAGACTGCACAACAAAACATCATGGCTTCCGTCATGCTTCTTTTGAGCTGCGTGAGATCAAAAAGATAGTTTCAGCTGAATGGTTTGTTCCAAAAGTTTACAGTCCGTTATTCTATTCTTCAGTCCTACAATAACTAACCCTGTTTGGAAACTAGTAACAAGCCTGAGTGTTTACCCGCTGGTGATCTTTAATTAGGACATCATCAAGCACAAGAATTGCGCGCTGAACTCCTTTGGGATCTACGCGGAAAAAAAGCAATAGCTTCGATTGGTAAATCATTTTGGATGCTGGCCATTCACTTGTGCAGTAACCTCACCATATAACGGCCCTTTCTGATTAGAAAACCTACGCGGCTATGAGCAGCACTGGTAAGCGTCGAACTATTCGCCCGTCCACAGTAAGACCAACCCTCCATTACAGCCGCATGCTCTCAGCTAGAGGGGAAGTACTGCACTGAGCAGTTTAAATTGGAATAATCTGTGACATTTATAAAACGCTCACAACATTTCACTTCTACCTCAGCATAATACACGTAGACGTGTGTGTTTTGACAACGATTTACAATGCCAGGAAAGATATACATACTGGATCTTGGTGTGCCATAGCCTAGGTGAAGTTACTTGTGTCACAAAGTTCCCGACCAAAGGTCATTAGATTCCCTGTCTTCGTGATCAAAGCTTCGGGTTAGTCCACGACAGTCTAACCATGCATTCATAGAAGTTATGGTGATTCAATTTCGTAACACGACCTGGTCAATATAGATGTTCAGCAAAATCCAAACTACTATTATATTCATGGTAAGATAGAAGACGTGTTATACTTTAATCAATGATTGACATACCGTATTATAGGTCTTCGCTTCGTAGCGTAACAATATACTTTTGAAATGATTTTTTGGCTCAACCGTCCTCTCACTCTATTAGAAAAATCAATCACCTTGGAGCATGAGCTTTTCCACAATTTCATTGGAAAATCTAAATAGCACCAGTGCTGTAAGACTTTGGATTGAAAAGGTAGATTATGAGGTATGGCTACTGTTGCGATGGCTTGCTGTCCTGCTTGATGGATGTTTCCCTACTCACTCGAGTAGTGTATATGTTGGTGTAGGTTCACTTCTTCAGAAACCGCAAATTACTGAAGAATGACACAATTAAGGCAGGTACGTTTACACTGGTTGTGTGATTAACGCAAATGTCAGTAGGACACGCTTGCATAACGATTTATATGTATATATATATATATCAACTTCGGTGGTTGAAAATGTAGATGGGTGGTTTCACGTAAGTGATATTTATCATACCGTAAAATATCCTGCTGCGCAGAGCGTCGGTGTGCCAATATGCCGAAAAAATACGTGTTGGTGAATGTCGATCAAACCTAGCACAACGGCGATGAACATCGGTCGCATGGCCTATTCAGTATCGATTGGACGCATTAATTGGTATATAGATTCATACATTGTATTATGTCTGTGGAGAATGGGTTGAATCTACGGAGGTCACATAGGATGCAGATGCTCTGGCTATCAGTTACTGCCACAATGACTGAGGACCGCTGCCGCTCTATAGCGAACCATCGATTTTACCCTGAGTTAAACAGACGAATAACTTTCACTACAATGCTGGTCGCATCCTTTTGTTTTCTTCTACCAGAGTTGGTCATGAGCACGTGCAATCCTTCAATCTTCGACCTTGGAAATTTAATGTAATTCGGTCGCCATCTGTTTGCCCACAATCGGATGGGCTGATATATGCTGTTAGGTGCTGATATTTGCATGGAACTCTGGTCACAATAAAAACAACAACGGTTTTTTGAAAAAAAGGCGAAAGCGGTCCCCGGGCAGCTTTTCGGACAGAGAGCACTTGAACTTGGAAAGCTATGCTATTGAAGATAATGCTGGTAGTCCTGGTTGTATGGATGATCGCTAGTTCTCGTTAACTCGTTCTCTGGGCTAGGTAGTTTGATTGCAAAAATTTTATCACCACTGGTGGTAACATTGTCAGTGCATGATTACGTAGAGGATTCGTGCGATGCATCATTGGGTCTCCGTCACTTAGTTGTGTCAGCTTCTGTGCACCTGGCACTAACCTTTAACCATGATCGTTTGTTAAGCTGGGGGTTACAGTTTGTTGTCCTGTGGGCTTGCGGCCCGAATGGCCGTCCCCATGACCTTGGGATCGGCGTGTTTGTCTCCCATCCATCGGTAAACGCTCGAATCTGCCAGGCATATAAACTCTGCGTTTCATGCTAGCAAGATTCCCGGCGAGTTTCTGTATTTCGGCTCGTTGGCAAAACAATTAGGTCTGTTTAAGCCGCTCGCCCCTTCCCAAACTTTTGAATGGATTGGTGTGGTTTGACATCCTGCCAGATCGAATTATTCTCAAGCCACCATGCTTCTCAGATTCCTTTTACTGGTCATGTATTTTAGCCTGCTAAGATCCCATGGTTTTCACGTTGAAGCTGTGTGTAGTTCAAAGATGGTGGATCATTTCTCCTGGTAGTTGCACCGTGCTATTTCACTTGCCTGCATAGTTTTCCCCTAGTTTTTTGAGCATAATTTATTAATCACTGCATTTGAATTGTCGTTCCTGCCAAGTGATAATTGGCTTGCGGAATTGGCTTGCAGTGTTCTATTTATAGAACGAACCTGCTGAACCTTCTTGCGGGTGGAGAAGCAATGATTTTTGTGATGCATCCTTGGCCTTCATGTTGGTAGAAAAGTCTTGTCAATTTGTAATTGAGGTTAGCTAGATAATTTTTTAAGCCAACCGTCATTGCTGTCCCTTGAAGGTCTCTTCACATTTGGTTTTGGCACTGCTTACCCTCCGTTCTACTGCTGACAAAAGCTCGATTAGCGCTAACCGAGCGATGGCGAGACAATGTGTCAGCAGCTAGTGCTCCATATTTTCTTAGATGTTTGTAGGCGTTTTCTATGATCACTTTTGCTATTCTTCTACCGTACCGTCTTTCTATGTCCCAGCCAAATAGCCACAATTGAATAAAAGGAAGCCCTTAGAAGCTCGAGATAGCTCAGTGGTCAATGCTCGAACTTACCGGTGGTTCGAACCCTGATCTCAGCATCTCAACAGCTTGGGCAACTTAATAATACCCAAGCATTCATGTTTTCTTTGGGTGACATGGCAGTTATGTACCGAAGGGGTGCTGCAGCTGAACGATCATCATCATTTTTCCCAGCTCTTTGGAATTCAAACACGTGCACCACCAATCTGTATGCATCAATCCACGCACAGGATCACCTCACCATATAATGAAGAACCGATTATTTCATCCAGAATAAAAAGTGTGCAATCAAACTACGCAACGTAGTGAACAGACCAACGACCATGATGTGTCATCCAGGACACAATTTTCACATTTCATTACAGCGAAACGTTACGGCGGAAACAATTCTAGTCCTTAGACAATGAGTACCAGCTGGAGGGGTAGTGCAAATAATTGTCTTGAGCCACTGACAGCGGCTGATTAACACACCCAAGTTCAGATCGGTGTGATGTACGGAATATCCTAATTCCGTTCAATTATGTCAGAAAATACTTCAATATAAACACAACCGAGGTAGG